TTTGAGGGTGGAGAGAGACAGCCTTCGCCCCAACCCCCCTTGAGAAGAGCACCAGTTAACGAAGAGCTTCCGGGACGGCGCACACTGTCATCCAGCTCTAAGACAGAGGAGGACGAGGGGTGCTTGGCTCAGGGGCGGTGCACCGTGTCGTCCGAGAACTCCGTGTGCTCAGAGTCAGGAGAGTCAGTTCTTTCTAAAATAAGGATTCTCCCCCGGCCCTCCACCAGGGAAAGGAGTGGCCCTGCTACCAGCTCCTGGAAAGAACTGAGTCCCATCTCTGAGCAGCCCATCTCAAGAGTGGCGCTTAACCCAGCGTACAGCAGAATGTCCATGGCATGCAGTGAGGCGGCTGCCTGTCCTCTAGCGCTATAGAATTTCGCCACAAGTGTAGACGAAAAACTGCTTAGGATCGTGCCAAGAAGCACTCTGAGGACACAGTAGCATCGTGACAGTGCGTTCAACCGGGGGGACCCCAATGTACGACTGGGCAGAGGCCCTGTCGAGGGAAGGAAGGGCAGAGGAGATCAATGAGGGATCGCTGGAAGATATTGGGGTCTTCGAGGATATCGAGCTGTCCTGATGCACATCCGGGAAAAAAGGTATTGGAGTGGATGCTGACAGGAGTCAGCGGCCACACCCAAAAACCAATCATCCAGCAGCGAGCACTCAGGACAGGGTGAAAAGTTCCTCTCTAGTCCGATGCACCCAGCGCCTCGGGAAAGCATAGCCATCATCTCAGGATCTGGCTCGACAAATGTCATATGCACACCCGAAAGTGGCAGCACTGTAGAATCTTCACTTCCTGAAGATACTACGCAAGTAATAAATTCATTTTAAGACAACATGGAATAGATTGTATAATATGCTGTTAGCTATAATGTGGATGGTATAGTATCATGAGCCCCAATTAAAGTCTTGTGACACTCATGCCAGGCGGCAGGCGTTATTGTTGTTGTCGAGTTTCCGTGCGCCGATTGCTTTGGTCCGGGCCGAGTCAAAGTCCAGGGCCGTTTTTTAGTCCCAGTGTGTGGGGTCAAATCTTTAAAAAATTGACCTATTTAAAAACGATATAAACACTCTACAAACATAATGTCGTGCACCATTCAAGAGTAAACTCTGAAAAGATAACCATACTGTACATGTGCTGTACATATGTAGTTGAGAAATATTTTATTATAATTTATTTTTACCCATAGGAAAAAAAAAAAAATCCTGAGGCTTTCCAGAGGCTTCCAAACGTTAATTCTCTTTTGAATTCAATGGCCTGGCATGCATTTTGATTAATGTATAAATGTAACTAAAATTAAACTATTTATTGTTTTACTGCTTGCTGCTATTTTTGTTATTTCGTTGTATTTTCCATTACAACAATAACATTTTACTTTTTTACAACTTATTGGTGATGGTGATTATTTAGAGCTTCTTTTTTTTCTTTTTTTCTGACTTTTTTTTTCTTTTTTTGCTCAAGCTAGTATTTGCGTTTTATGTTTAGACCCAATGTTGTCTTAACTGAAGTATACAACAAATAATTCCTTCTTTAATTAATTACTTTTTTTTTAAAAAAAATGGAAGAAACACACTATTCAATTTGAATGCAAGTATTTCTTGGCAGATGCTGTCTCACCCTATAGCCTCATCACCTGTGAAGAATAAGTTACACCACAATACACACACACAGACACAGCTTATCTCAATGTAACAGTCCGGCTACTGTTTCTGTCTCATCATTAATGTGTGGAGCAGTTCAGTCAGCTTTTGCCTTACTTTTTTTTTATATATATATATATATATATATATATATATATACTGTATATATATATATATATACTGTATATATATATATATATATATATATAAAACCTTAATATATAGGATATTATAAGCTGAAGAGGCCTAACATGGTACTATTTACAGTAAAAAAAAAAAAAAAAAAACATTTTCTTTAGCATGCAGAATATGTCTGGCAGTGAACATACAAATAAAATGTTTTCTTGTTTTCCTCCACTTTTCATTAAAGTACAAATATTCCTTGTAGTCTCAGTATTAGCTCATAAAAACTGCATTATGAGACGTTAAACAAAAATACTGGTTAAGTAATAAAAACATACTGTCTCACAGATAGGCTAGTTCTTCTGAAGTTTGTCCTGGTCCTCTTGGCTTGAGCTGCAGTCACTACACTTTTCACTTTTGTTCACACTTATATATACATACGCAAAAGGAAAGTCCGTATTTCGCTCTGGGCAAAAGTTCATGTTTGATGACCCGCAGGTCTGTATAGCAAAAAAATAACCAACAAAGGAAGAAATGTCATTTCTTGACTCAAAAAGAATCCAAACTTCAAGGCTGCATGGTTTGTAGTTGTGTGAAAGAGAAATAATGTAATAATGTAATGTTTTACAATCTATGCTATTTATAACAAACAATCTCTAGAACCTAATACTATTTCTTTAATGTATGGCATGCTCAAATGCTTTTGTGTATACTTAGTTAAACTTCCTCAAAGACTGATTAACCTCCTTGTAAATTAATGTCAACACGGAAGAGGACAGTCACAAGCACATGTAATGCTTTCTCTTTTACTGCATCCCAATGTTAAATATTGTTGGAAGCAAACTTTATTAGGATGGTTATGAAAACATTATGCTTTACTATACTTTAGTTTCTAATTCCCTTGCCAACGTTTGATTTTATTATGTAGCCTAACAAAAGTTTACAATATAGCTTACCTATTGCAACAGTATAGGCTATATGAGTGTGCTTCTAAGATAAGTTTGTTTGGCCCACTTGCACTTTTAATAAATTAAAATACAAGACATGGAAAAATTGCAAGTGACACTCTGCCGGTTCAAAATAATGCAAGAAGTTTGCAAATGGGGACAGCTGTAAAAACTTGACATAAACAAAAAAAATCATAGACACAATGCAAACATGATGAGCGGTTTCCGAACAGATATACATGTTAGGCTATCTACAGTACTGTAGCCTACTGCTTGTTGCTATTTTTGTATACTGTTATTGTGCTTTTAGTTTTCACGTCCTGTAGTAGGCTCCGTATTATAAGCAGAGATGGGAGACATGATTGACAATCACTTTTCAGAGGCAAAGAACAAAGGCTACTCAAAAGTACGACTCTGGTAATTTTAATTTATATTTACACTCTAAAAAATGCTGGGTTGTTTTAACCCAACTTTGGGTCAAATATGGACTAACCCAGCCGTTGGGTTAAATTTTTACATTACATTTTTAACCCAACATTTCGGGTTTGTCCATATTTGACCCAAAATTGGGTTAAAACAACCCAGCATTTTTTAGAGTGTACGTTTAGTCATTTAGCTGACTTACAAATTTGGACTAAATTGAGTCATCGTAAAGAGCCAAAAACAACCCATGAAATGCGTTGGGAGGACTAAGGGAAAAGGAAAGGTTTTTGTTTATTTTTTTTATTTTTATATGAGGTTAAGTGCTGCGCGGAAGAGATGAGTTTTCAGTTGTCTTTTGAATGTTGTCAGAGATTCTGCATTTCAGGTGAGGGTGAGTATCATCAGGAACCGTGAATGAGAATGTTCTGGAGAGAGATTCTTTTTCTTTTTCAGACTTTCTGTGATGGTACCACGAGCCGTCGCTCATTGGCTGATCGTAGGCTTCTGGTGGGGACGTGGACTCGGAGCAAATGAAAGTAGGGGGGAGCTGAGCCTATGATAGATCTGTAAGCAAGCGTCAATGCCTTGACCTTCATGCGAGAGGTAGCCAGTGCAGAGAGATGAACAGAGGAGTAACGGCTCATTTTGGCTCGTTGAAGACGAGACGTGTGGCGCAGCGTTCTGAATCAGAGCTTTAGTTGCACATGATGGATTGAGAATTAACATTTATGCATTTGGCAGACATTTTTATACAATTCTTATTTCAATTAATAATTATTTAATTAATACGCAATAATTATTTTATTTTAAATATAAAATAGGCTAATGTTACATTTATGGTATGTATTAAGTTTTGTTTGGTTTATATAATGAGATGACAATGTTAACAAAAGGGATTATTATTGTTGTTAGTACTATATTATTCATTAGGCTATTGTAATAATTTATTGATGTTACAAGCTGTGTTGCCTATTTCATATGAGAAAATATTTTTTTCTGCTGTAGACACGACATTGACTTATTTTCATTAGTTGTGATCAAAAGAGTGTTTTGGCCAAAGCATGAATATTAATATGAAAAAATAATCCACATTTACCGTTTATTTTACTCAAACAAATATTTGTGTTTCAATGTTTCCAGATAGTGAATTTTAGACATCAAATTTATAATTTTGTTTTATGTATTTTTAATTTGACCCTGTTACACTGTCTAATGTCATTTAATAATTCCCAGTATAAGTTAAAAAACAAATATTGGTGATGTTTTGTATTAATTGCTGTCGTGGATGAGCATTTTGATGAATATGTGACGTCGCTAAAAAAAAAAAATTAATAGGCCTAGGCTATAGCTATACGAGCTTTATACACGTTATTCCATATAATAGTGTTCTCTGAAAAGCAGAGAAAACTGAATGACCTACGCGCCATATGGCCACTGCACTGATCCATCTAAAATATAGGCTATAGATCAGTGCATTTGACCATAGAGAGTATGCATATGACGACTGCTTTTCAGAGAACACCATCTAGTGGAATAACGTGTAAAACTCGTGTGTGACACGTCACTTTTCGATATAAAATTAGCCTATCCCAGTCACGTATTTTTTTTTTACATTTATCATCCGTTGGTGTCCTTTTACATTTCTTGCTTATCTTCATGAGACTGTGTTGTAAAAATAATAGCCTACATTATAACTATATTGCATAATTTTTGAAATTTCATAAGAAATGTAAAAGATCATTTAGGCCTAAAGTAATTGGCCTAATAGCCCAATATGGAATTTAGGCTAAAATTAACTTTGGTCTGTTGTAAAATGTTAAAACGCAATACATGTAATTAGTGTAGAATAATAGTCGGCTATAGGTAATTATTGTTATTTTTATTTTCATCATCATCAAAACTCCAATAGCCTATCATTGTTTGATTAATTAAGAATTGTTTTATTTGTTTTACAAAGAATGCAATATCCCTTAGCTATAAAGTAAGAACAATAGCCATCATCATGGTAGCCTAATTATTTCTAGACAGTTTTTGCTTTGCTTGATTTGGAAGCTCTTCGTTTGGCTCTCTTGGGTCTTGTGGTCTTCTTGACCGCAGGTGTCTCGCTGGCCTTTTCAGGACTTCCTACATTTCTCCTTCTCTTAGGGGATTTCTTTGCCCCGGCAGGTTTCTTGGCCATCTTTCTCTTTGCCCTCTTCGCCGTTGCCTTCTTTGGCTTTGTAACAGCTTTCGAGCCGATCTTAAATGATCCAGATGCTCCGGTGCCTTTGGTCTGCATCAGGCGACCATTGGCCACCAGTCGCTTAACTGCCAGCTTAATGCGCGAGTTGTTTCTTACCACATCATAACCACTGGCAGCCAGCGCTTTCTTCAGAGCGACCAGAGAGACGCCACCACGCTCCTCTGAAGATGACAAGACCTTGAGGATCAAATCAGACACACTGAGTCCTGACTTCTTGGCCTTGGACCTTCTTTTTGGCGTTTTAGCAGATGAGGCTGCTGTGGCAGCTGACATGACTGACAGTTTATTTGAGCAGCTGGAAGAAGTTGTCTGATGAGAGTGAGTTGAAGGGCGGATGCGTGCACGTAAAATAGTCAACATGAGAACCGTGTAGACTCTAGTAGATATCATTTCAGCGCCTTTTTAATAATTTGTGTTTTCCGACTAATAGAAAGAGTATTATTTTTACTTTTAAAAATAATTCAACGACCTGGATTGTCGATCAGAAAATCAAGAAAGTTCCATAAGGACATTTAACTTGTAAATAGCATCCAAACAATAAAGTAATAATCAGTTTTTATTCGCAAATGTGAAGAATCGATGTGCTGTGGCGTTTTAAGACTGAACAATTTCTGGACTTTGCTTAATTACATTATTTAAAAATGTATTTACTTAGTAAGTGCAGTTGTTCATTGAGAGTGGACCATCTGTAATGTTTTCATGAATTAATAAAGCGAATAGTTTGCTGAGTTTTTGAACAAATAATATATTTTCAGTCTACTAAAACACATTTTCTTTTTCTGTGAGTTTTAGTCAGTTATAGCAACATTTTGACCCTACAAAAACAATCACACATTGAATACATTTAATTAATAATACTGATCGAATCTTTTTAGTATTTTTTATTTTATTTAGTAGCCAAAACCTAAAAATCTGTCAGGATATGGTTTGAGATCTAAGGCTATTGTGTCATTCATTTGTACAATGGATGATGCTTATTTGACTGATTATAGTGCTAAAATAAACTTTAGTTTAATAATTCATGAAAGCATTTAAATTCTTACAGTTTGATCTTCTGCAGTTACACCAGAAGGGTGTCTCCTAGATGCAGAAACCTTATCTTTGATGCCATGTCAGTTGTTAGATAGGCTATATGACCTAATAGGACCTTTTTGGTTGTTTTGCTTGTTTCAAAGGTTTAATTCTCTGGCAGTTTTTAAAGGATTATATGCATAGATGATTTTGCTGATTTGACTTTGTGAGCACATTGTGTTCTTCAAAAACAGTATAGTTTACATCTTGATTTAATGTGTTTTTAGCATTTTAATTTAAAATTGAGCTAGATACATTTTAATCTCAATAATAATGAATTATTAATTGACATACATTTAATTCATCCTGCAGTCCCCTTAGAAGTTTTCTTTTTCAAAACCAGTCCATGCTCTAAAATGTAGGTGTAACCAGGCCCAGAAAGTAGCCCAATAATATATGTTTTTTACACCTTGAATAGTACAATGCTTATAGCATTAGTGAACACACCCATTCTAAAGTTGACTAAAAAGAGGAATACAAAATCATCTTTTGGAAATGCCTTAATTGAAATAAATGGCCTTTAAAAATAAAAGTCTGACTTGCTCAATGGGAATTTAACATAGCTTATGTATTTTAAGGAAGAACATTTATTTATTTGCAATACATTATTCGTTCACAAAGAAAATTGGTTTCCTTAAAGGTTGATTTATCCATTTTTTTTAAGGCACGCCCCCACAACATATTAAGTCAAGTAATTTTACTGTTACTGTTACTAGAAACCAAATACAATTAAAACTTAGTACAGTATTTGTGCTTTATCAAAATCTTCATTAAGTCAATTTATTTTGTGTTGTTTGGCAAAGTTTGTGCCAGAGATTGTCATATTATAGGGAATTGAGGTGTTCTGTGCCTCTTACCATTGGAAAAAACACCTCGTTACTAATATAACCTAATATAATCTCAGGTTCCCTGAGATAACGGGAACGAGACTTGCATCGGTCTTTAGCTGATCCTATCTCTTTCCTCCGAGATCACAGCCAGCTACGCAATGCTCGTTCTCGTTATCTCAGGAAACCGAGGTTATGTTAGTAACCGAGATGTTCCTTTATCGATACGGTTCACTTGCATTGCGTCAATCTTTAGCTGATACTATGAGGACGCATTCCAAAAGCGCCATATAATACAAGCGTAGAATGAATGGCGTCCTATGAGCCCCGTCCTTGGGCACTCAAGGTTAAGGGCCCAGAAAGGCAGCAAGACTAATAATAGGGCAAGAACATCCGCCCAAACACACAAGGCTCAAGCTACAAGGCCGGAGTCCTCGGCAAGCACCCTAACGGTAAGACGTACAACGAGGTCGAGGACCGGTTTAGATGCACAGGGCCAGTGCTTGGAGATAAAGTACGTCCAAGTTATAAAAACTGGCGAGGGTGGATGGAGAGGACCAGCCGGCCGCTGCACAAAAGTCACCAATGGATACTCCACTGGACCAGATCCAGGAGGAGACCTTGCCCTTGGTGAATTGGGCTCTCACTCCAAAAGGGCAATGAAGGTCCACAGAAACATAAGCTAACACAATTACATCCACTATCCAGTGTGATAACCTCTGCTTTGTGGCCATTTGCCCTTTAGTGTGGCCTCTGAAGCAGACAAAAAACTGCTCTTATTGCCAGATGAGGCTAGAGCACTCAACGTATACTCGTGAGTCTGAACCGGGCAGAGTAAGTGCAACCCTTGTGTGTCCCCAGAAACAGGAAGAGCAGAAAGGGTAATAATAACCTGTGCTCTAAACAGAGTAGGGTGCACCTTGGTTTGTCTTGGTTTGAGGATGACTCTGAAATCATTTGGCCCAAACACAAGACAAGACTGTCTCAACGAGAGCGACCGACGCTGAAGCCAGCAGAAGGGTGGTCTTAAGTGAAAGGCGCCACAGCTCGATTGACAGTTAGCGGCTCAAAGGGCGGGCCTCAGAGAGCCCTGAGGACCGTGGACAGGTCACAAATCGGGATAGAATAGGGGCGAGGTGGGTTCAGCCTTCTGGCCCCTTTCAAGAACCATGTTACTAAAATGTTCCTTCCAACTGCCTGGCCAGCATGGCCTGAGAGCATGATTCGCAATGGCCGCCATAGACATTGAGTGTGTCCAGCAGCACCCCTTGTCCTGAAGCTTTTGAAGGAAGCATAAAATCAGTGAAACATCACAAGATGTCACTTCATTCTGTGCACCAGTCAGAGAAGACAGACCACTTAAGGGCAAAGAGACGAATAGTAGACAGGGCTTTAGTCTCTGAGATAGTGCTCAAGACTCTTGTGGGAAGGCACGCTGGCTGCTCAAACCTGAGCCAGAGTGGCAAGGGAACTTAACCTTCTCCTATTCACTCCTGACAGAACAAGACGGCTTCTGCGATTCAGGGTCTAACGTCACCTTGGTGCGGGGTCACTGGCACTTAGGGATAGTGTAGAGCTTGGTGTCATGGGAGCGCTGGCAGGCTCTTCTGGTGACTTGAGGCAGCTGCTGAGCTGGCGACGACTTCTGTACACCGTTCAGCGAATCCATCCACTGCAGGGTCAAATAGTTCGAGGAAGGCAACCTTTTCTGCTTCTTTTGGGATCTGGCCATGCGGGATGTATCTTCCAATGTATCTTCCTCAGTTTTTTTTTTTTTTTTTTTGGTCATTAGACTTCCACAGAAAATATTTTAAAACATTTTTAACCCGTTTGCGGTTCGACGTGAACTTTCAAAGCTGATGGGTAATAATCAAGCTTGATAAACAAGTTAAAGTTAAGTCACATTGTACCACTGACAAATCAGCTAGGTTGCTGACCAACTCAAGTTGACATAACATGATTTCCAACAAGACCTAATTTAATTTAAAAATGTTGTTATTTTTCCTACTAGTAAATGATATATGGATGTCATTTTTGTAGTATTTAAACTAAAGCAAATGTATTTCCATCGAACTTCATTGTTCAAAGGGCATCTGTCCCAATTCAACTAAAAAATCATGTGAAATGCAATGCCATCAGTCTGTCATTGTCATAAAGAAGTCATACCACTTTAAATAATTTGTGTTGAAATATTTACATGTAAACGGGTGTAGAATCATTAAAAAAACAACAACAAACAAAAACGTAAAGGTTGTACTTAAACAGAGTTCATCAGTCAACCATCACTATACTTTTTTTATTCAATGCCATTAGAACTATTCACAATATTATATTAACTGCCAGAAAGAGAAAAAGATACATAAAATCCAGTGTTTTCAAAGCATTAAATGTTTTCATTGCTTTTTTGTTTTTAGTTTTTTCCAAAAGATGTACATATAATTTAAAGTCATTTATAAAATGTGGAAAATTTGGTTTACCTTTGAGCCCACTTCTTTTTATGTATATGGTATTTTCCTATAAAATAAATAACTGTATTATATGTTGTTCATTACATTCCAAATTGTCTCTCTGAGTATAAAAAGCACATCAATAACATAAAATTCCATCAGTTTTCTATTAATAAAGGTTTCTAAATCTTTCCAAAATAATCTCGAGAAAATACAGTGGAAAAAAAACAAACAAACAAAAAAACAAATGCAAAATTGTTTCTTTCTCCAGTGCACAGAATTCACAAGTATATGAAATCTTTCCAAAACATGCTTAGATAAATTGTGTAAAGTATTTTGTAAGACACTTCCTTAATTTTGTTATTGACACAAAACCTATTTGGTAATTTCCATGCTTTAACCCAAGATATCACCAAATAAGGAAGACCAAAAGAATCTTGCTGCAGGAAAAGACACCGAGCGCTTTCCTTATAATCGTATTGCTACATTTTTGTTCTAAAACTTCAACATTATCAATGAAAACTTTACCATAAAGATTATCCATGTTTATTTCCACTGAAACATCATTTTTAAGAGTAAAATCACACACTATGGAATCGCGTCAAGAACAATTGCAAACTCTCTTGGTTTAACTGGTAAATTAATTTTTTGAAGAAATTCAGTATATGATAACAAATATCACTTGGAATTAACCAGTTGTCTTATATAATCCCTTCATTGAACCAAGTGGGATAAAATAGTGATTTGTTTTTAAAAAGTATGCCTTTGTTATTCCATATGAAATAGCCTAGTTGTGTGGTGAAAATTGTGTTTAATTATATACCAATTCCCATGCAGTAACCATCAACCATCACTATAGATATACTGTGCCAAATTGAAATTCTCTGGTCACGTCACCTGTCTCACGCATTTACGGTGTTTTTTTGCATTTACGGTGTTTAGGACCTGGGGGTTTCCATTGTTGACGTATTAGAGAGAGCATGTGACTGACTGAACTATAAAGAACACGAGGAAAGATTACGTCACTAACTCAAAAAAGGAAAAGAAAAACGCCACAAACTATCCACAATATTCCAAGCTTCGACTCCTCACTCAGCAGCAAACATGGATTGTGGAATGATAACGTCCAAAAGCGTTCTTTTGCTTCTCAGTTTAATATTTTGGGTGAGTTTGTGATGTTCTTTTTAATATAAGTTCACAGGTTTACAAACCTAAGCTGTCCATGTGTATTTTGCAGTTGTTTGATGACTATTTGTAGGAAAAAGGATCCTTAGAAGCATCACAATAGTTTGTTTCATTCCAGCGTTTGTTTCTCCTCCTCCAGACCTAAACGTTTATTTGCTTTTGACAACGAGCTGTTGTGTAGAATGTAATTTAATTTGGGGTGAGTCATTTGTTTGCTCTTTGTTTATAGACTTTAAACAACCATGTGACAGGGTGACCATTTTGATTAGGCTACCAAAAATCAGGACACTCGGCTCGGCAAACAGATACTCAAATGATACTCGAAGTTTACTCAAAGATGCCTTATTAATTTCAATACATTTAATATAGGCTATGCCTCCTCTGTATAGATAGAAAATGGCTATATTACAAGACACATATTCAGACAGGCTTCTCAGAGGTTATTCAACATGTTTTATTATGACAGGTTTCAAAAATAATGAATGAAATAATGATAAAAAATAATGTCTCTTCTGTATTAGAAAAATAAATAACACAAACTAACAAAATATATGTATATCTTTAGCTTTCTTCCTCTTTATCCTGTTTTTCTTCCTCATCCTCCTTGTTTGCCCATCCATATTTTGCTGTAGAGCTGATTTTTCCGAGCAGTTTTTTTGAAAACCAGGACATTTTAATCACTTTATAAAAAACAGCTAGGACAGGACATGAAAACAGGACTGTTGGTCACCCTACCAAATGAAGGGGCTTCAGTGCCTTTTGCTATACTGCCTTTAAATGTAAGCACTTATTTATTTTAGAGTTCATGTAACTGTCAGAGCTTCTAACTTGATTTCAAAGGAAATAATGAATTTTTTTATGCCCATAATTGTCTGACATCATGTCGACCTAGTCATCTGCCTGGGCTTAATGTCATGTGCCCTTTTCTAGCTTCAGTGGGCACGAAGGGGAGTTCTGTAGAAAACCAACAATTCTTACTCTTCTGCACAGACAATTGAATACTTTCATGCTCAGAGAGATGTTGCTAAAATTAGCAGAAACCAAGACAAATGTCTTAGGGCTGAGACCCTCCTGTCTGTATGTGTTGTGTGTGTGTGTGTGTGTATATATATATATATATATATATATATATATATATATAAATTTTCCCCAAAAACACCAGTGCAAGAAGTAAAACCTGAAACCTAAAAATCTGAGAACTGAAAGTTCTCATTGTAGCATCTTTGTCTTCTGAAAAGCTGATTTATTGCTGTAAATGTGTACTTTTCTACCTCAAGGGTTTTCTGTTTTGCCTTTGCCGCTTCTGCTCAAGCTGAGGCACAAGACCAGAATTCCAGGAAAGATTAGGGGGCAGGAAAAGGTTACTCATGGTCTCGTGACTGACTGCTGAAGAAACCGATCATGTGCTAGCGAGTCATACATAATCCAAAGTTGACATGTTATGAAATGACACCTTATTGGGGGAGGGGTTAACATTGTGTGTGTTAGCATTTTTATTGAGTTTTTTTTTGGTAATTTTAATATATCAATCATTTAAATACTTGGTCATGAAATTTTGCTGGTTGAGAACCACTGCTCTAAAATGTCATGAGTGCCTTACGCCTTGAATGCATGTGAGTGTACATGTCTGTATATCAGTATTGTTTTTGATAAAGTTATATATATATTTTTAGTAAATATCATGAAATCATTTTTTTTTTTTTTTTCAGACATTACTGCGAAGTTTGATGTCATTAACCCACCTCTTGTGTCATTCTTTTCAGGGTGCTGGAGTGGCCCTTGCATATGTTGGTTCTTATGTGATAAAGAGCTACAACAGCTTTGAAGACTTTGTGTCTGATAAGTACAGCATCGTCCCAGCAGCCATTATAATCGGTGTGGCTGTGGTCATGTTTGTCATCGGAACCGTTGGCTGCTGTGCAACTCTGAGGGAGTCCAAAGTCGGTTTAGGCTTTGTGAGTATGAGCCATACATCTGTGTACCTTTTGTTCAGTTTATGTTATCGAAAATAGAGAGTAGGGTCCATGTGGTGGTTTCTATTCCTTTTTTTAAAGCCTTTTGGGTATTACTGGTTTCATCATGGTGTCGATTTTGGGGGATTTAATATTTTATGCTTTTTCTCTGAATTTTTCATTTAGTTTCTTATCATCATCATGATAATCTTTGCAGCCGAGGTGACCGCTTTTGTGTTTGGCTTCATCTACAGGGGCAGAGTAAGTTATTCTCATATAACCTCTGAATAACATTTTTTTTTTTAATGGGATATGTAGAAATCTACATCACTGAAAATTGTTTCCCGTGATGTTTACAGATTAAGGGTGACCTAGAAAAGTCAATGAAAGACGTCTTCCAAAAGTATGATGGTCTGAACACTGAAACGCATGCAGTGGATTACTTGCAATCTCAAGTAAGACTAAAAGGTTCCTTCATATCATTGTAATCATTTTTATTTGCACTGGAAATCATAGACACACTTGGCAGGAAATGGATGCATGAAAAGGAGTCTCCTGATCTTTTTTTTTGTACTCCATTTTTACATTTTCCAGTTGGAGTGCTGTGGGGTGAATAACTTTACAGACTGGACTGCAACGCCATGGTTTGGCCAACATAACAATTCTGTGCCACATTCCTGCTGTAAAGCAAACAATACACAATGCACAGGTCAACTCACCCAACTCGATCTTCTGAATACACAGGTTTGAGCGGCGTGTCATTTTGTTTGACATGGTGAATTGTGTTCAGTCAACCGTGTTATTTTTCAATTTATAGGCTATTTTAGTATTTATTGATTTTAGTGTGTGTGTGTGTATATATATATATATATATATATGTGTTTATCTATCTCTATATATATGAAGAGTTCAGATGCAAAAGCCTCTAAGTGCCATTTGAAATTTTCTTCTAAAATGATAATTTTTATCAAGCTTGTATATTTAAGTTCAGTAATTTCACTTAAATGGCAATGATAATTACCTATTAATTGTCATTTAAGTGAAATTACTGAACTTAAATACAAGCTTGATAAAAATGGTCATTTTAGAAGAAAATTTCAAATGGCATTTAGAGGCTTTTGCATCTGAACTCTTCATATATAAATATATATATATCTCTCTCTCTCTCTCTCTCTCTCTCTCTTTTACATTTATTTCAGTTTTAGCAATAACAATAATTAACTATATTGGTATTCAGATCAGCATATTTCCAAGCAGTTTTCTTGAAATATGTTGGTTTTAAACCATTTTTTTTTTTTTCGGGGAGAAAACGCACTCTGTTGTTCCTACAGGGATGTGAAGCTAAACTGGACCAGATGCTTCAGGATGTGCTTAGTTATGCAATGTTGGTCATCCTGGGATTTGCCATCATAAAGGTACAGCAGTTCATTTTAGCCTAATCATTATACTTGTTTATCTGACAATGAATTTAACAACTTGTTTTGTGTTTCTCACTCTTTTTCAGTTTTTTGGGATGTTCAGCATTTGTGTCATCACCTGCCGAAGTAAGAAGAATGACTATCAGCCTCTGTATGCGTGATGGTAAAATCTGAATCACTCTCTTGGGACAGTCTCTAATTTCTCAATACTGTGCAGCTACACACAGCCTCACTGGCACCTTAAAAAAACAGATGTTTGAAGATGTGACCGTATTATAAACTTTCTGTATAAAAAAAAGTTCATTTTAATATCTTTTGGTTTAAACAGGATATGCTGACAGGAACTACAGAGGTGTGTGTGTGGCTAAAAAAAAGATAAAAAAAAAAAACACTTAACATTATCAAATTATTACAGGGTTTGAAAAAAAGGTAAAGTAGTTTTGATGGTTTGTTTTCCTGCCAAATAGGTTTATAAAATATTACACCCAACTCCACAAAGTTTTAGTAAATGTTACTATAGCAGCACTTCACCAAGTGTATATTTAGATCAGACTTTTGAGTTGATAGATGCACTTCATTTTTAAGGATTTTATGTGTTTCCGTGTGATTTAGTTTCGACATTGTCATATTCAGTGTTTTTTTTTTTTTGTGCTGCTATCCAAATTAAGTCTTTATAGTCATGTATGTATATTATATCTATTAAAATTATTTACTGTAGCTCAACAAAATAATATTAAATTATGGAAATAAACTGGCCTGGTGAGTGTATTTTTGACATTAAGATTACAAAAGTGCATGTTAATAATTGTCCTTGTATGACTTGTTTATCAACACCATTTCTGAGGAAATACACATGTGAATTTAGATAAATTGTAGGCGTTGACTAGTTATCTGTCTTGTGCTGACACAGTTGTGAAGATACTGCTCATTAAAGTAAGCCGTAAACTGACATTATCTGGAATGCTCCATTGGCCATCTTTTTGATGCACAAGCACTAGAATGTAAATTTGAATGTAAACAATTCAATGTGTATAGTAATATAATGTTCTGGGTGAATACATTGCACTAGTCATATTCAGCTTTGTCAGTTTTTTTTAACAAGAGAAACCCCCTAAAGAACGAAACAAGGTCCATTAAGTTTAGTGCTTTAAAAGTAAAAATAATACAAGAAAAACAACAACAACAATTTGGTTACATCATGAGTGTCAGATTCTATGGTCGTTTGTAAATGTATCCATTAGAGGTCGCTGTAAGCTAAAAATTTTTAAACGAAGTATGGCGATTGAGAGTTTTTCCTCTTCATAACAGCCTCTGAATAATCCAGCTATACATTAGCTACCAATGAATGATAATACGCAAAAAATTACGAGTCTAGAAGCAACTAAAACAAAACACACTGCTTTGGTTATCATCTTTCGATGCTACATTTGTAGCCTATGTACACTCCCCGAACTGACTCTGGTGTTTGGACAGAGGAAATGTAGACGAGCTCTTGATTTATCTTATTTCCTCCTTTCACCACTGACTCCTCAGTGCGGTAAACTGACCTCAGTCATGATGAAGCGTTTGGAGGGCAGCCAAACACTTTCTCTCCTGCCGAGGAATCTAAAGAGATACTGCATCTCACCACTGCCGGAACCGAGGTGCTCATTTTATTTCCAGGAACTGCTGTACTTGATCTTTGGGCATTTAAACTTTGAGTTGAAACTACAAACAGAATGAGGGCGATGTGTGCAAGTACAAAACAGAGAAGCAAAGCTTTTGGAGACCTAACTCCGTTATAGTAAAAAAATCAAATAAAAGACAATTGATCCGAGTGAATGGAAGCATTGCTCAGTCAGACTCAGACAAAAAAAGTATTTGGATCGTTTTCTGGAAATGGTGGCATCAGTGTCGTATTATTTTATTACCGTATTTCATTTCATTTGTAAGTATGTGTGTGAGTTGATAAAAAAATAAAAACAATAACAGCATGCAATGCAGTGTACAGGTCATTCCCACAAAAAAAAAAAAAAAAAAACTTAAATCTATTTTTATAGCAAACTTTGTAAAACAATGCGCGTGTCTGTATAGTGAAGCAGTTTCATGTCAAAAACAGATGCCCTGACTATTGACCAGTCAAGAGCATAATTTAAGCACAGAATGTGTTTGTCCTGCACAAGCGCGCAGGTGTCAGGAGCACCGTATGATGGACGGGGAGGGCGTGACGTCATCAAGGGGGCACCGACGAGTTTTGCCAAAGAAAAGCTTGTAGATCTACACACAGTGGAAGAGGGACACCGGGAGGCGAACAAATGCAGTGTGTCTCAAATGAACGCTCTCTCGGCGGTTTCTCCCGTTGACGCTATCGCGGGTAAGATCTTGTGTTATTCTTAACACACGGAAAATTCCTCACGGCAGCAGCAGCAAACTGACAGACTAAAACCTCCATCTACCGGACTGCACCAGTGCCGATTCAATAACAAACTCTGAACTACGAAAACGTCACTTTCCCGGTGGAAAAGTATGTTCAACTATATTTTTTTTCCAACACAAATAGAGCAAACCCGTGGAGCAGGCGACGGTAAGAGATCCAGGAGCATCGCTGCCTTTGTAGTTTTCTCCGCGGATGGGCCAGAAGATAAGAAGATAGTGTTGTCAAAATCTGATTCTATACTCTATTTCTTAGGTTTATATGCTCTTTAGTCACTTCTGCGTAGACGTGCGAGTGAAACTGCCCTTATTCTGTAAATTAAGCACGGGGTTGTGTATGTATCCGTTCAATTTCAGAACCAAATACAAGCGTTTGTTGTCACACAAAGGCGAATGAATGCAGCGCTGCCTATTGTGTGTTCAGCTGGAGCCACAGCTTCATTTGTGCTTCATTCACGGGCTTAAGTTCTCCGTTTTTATTATTTTACGTTACCAAACGTTGTGCGTAAATATGAACAATGCAAACATTTCAGCGTAATAAACGCATATTCTGGTTTAACGTTCAACAACAAATTGCATCCGCTTCCACGGTCAGCGCCATAGTCATATGCATTATTTATAAAGTTTGGCTCACCCACTAGTCTGGTCCCGTTGGTTTATACTAGATTCCTTTGTGCACTCAGTAATTGTTTATTAGTTTCTAATATTATTCAAGTTTTAGCCTACACAAAAAGGAACATGCAGCACTTTTGAGAAATCTCAGTAAAAATGATCATATCTCTCTAAACGTATCAGTGTGCTAGAAAAATCTGTTATATTATTATATTCTATTCTATTCTACATGAACGGTTGCAACCATGTTGTCATCACATGACCTGTGGTGTCACGCTGTTGATGAGTTACTATTACTTCTATAATGTTAACCTTTTTGTATTACTTAGGGCACTTTACATAGCATAAAACAATAAAAGTACACATGTCCATTAAATGGATGTGTGTAGTGTGAAATGTTTGAGAAAACAAACAAACAAAACAACACTTAAACAGCTTTATTGTGGAGTAGCTTCAGTTGGTTACAAAAAAACAACATGATGAATTCATGTCACTATGTGCCAGTGGTACCACTGGTAGCATAGAATGCAGAAAGGAAATTCCTATTCTTTTCTCCATAGAGGAATTGATTTTTGTTGATAACGTATAATATAAACCTTTAAAGACAGACCTAACTGTGGGCTAAAAGGTTTTTAATCAATGTAAGCTGTCAGTCAGCAGTATTTCAACTTATTTTTTTAAATCAGCAGAATTACTGGTGTAACACTACCCATCTCCACCAATCAGAAAACAAAACAAGCAAAAAAAAAAAAAAATTACCAAAATATATCTTTTGTACCCACCTATTCCCATGTCCCAAGTTTCTTCATCAGTTTTATATTGATTGTCACGCACAAAGTTTCATGGGATTTTAGTTCTTTCCCTTATTTAAGCCTTTAAGTACACACTCTGTACCTTTTGTCTTTTTGTCCGATTTACAAATACATTTTGCTTCATATCAAAGTGTGTAATGTTTTGATTCACCTTGTAGCTGGTTGGTTTGGTTCATGACTTGTTACATTTAACAAGGTTTTTTGAATAAGTGAATCTGAAAAATAATACTTTCAGAACCAAAGCAGCTGAAAAGTGAACTGCTGCACTCCATTGGGGTGAATAAGAAAACAAGAAATAGTATTGTAGTAATAGCAGTTATTAAAGTGTATGAATGTGTGTGTGAATGGGTGAATGTGAGGCAAAATGTAAAGCGCTTTGGTGGCCATTAGGTCTATGAAGGCGCTATATAAATGCAGTCCATTTACCATTTACCATTTAAAGGGATAGTTCACAGAAAAAAATTAATTCGGTCATCATTAACTCAACCAAACCTTTCTGAAACACAAAAGAAAATATTTTGAAGAATGGCGGTAACCAAACAGTTAATGCCATTGACTTCCATAGTTTGGAAAAAAAATACTATACAAGTCAGTGGTGCTCATCAACTGTTTGAATAGTGACATTCTTCAAAATAGTGTTCAGCAGAAGAACGAAATTCATACAGATTTGGAACAACTTGAGGGTGAGTACATTTTTGGGTGAACTATCCCCATAAGTCTAGTGGGATAACATTGGATGTTTTCTTGCTCATTATTTGTATAATCATTTTAGGAAACCACTAAGCTGAAATATTATAAACTATGAACTGTAAAAAATTGGTCATACTTCTAAAGCATACTTGTCCATATGTTTATTGTAATTGTAATAAGTATCTACCGTAATTATATGTCTGCTCTCTCTCTCTTTCTTTTTCTCCGCTGAAGGTAATGCGTGAGGAGCATGGAGGGTACAGGACGGCCTGGAGCCCGAGACGGCAAGTGAAAGCTCTTAGATTATAGAAGAAACTTACCCACGACCTGCTGCTAATGTTAAAGTCAAACATCACAGAGAACCTCAAACTCTAGCACAGGGGTGTAATTCATTTTGAATGTAACATGCAGTGTTTTTGGGGTAGAGATGAATCCTGGGAGACTGCATTTCAGAGTGTTTGCTGTGTGCAGCAGGCACTGGCTGACTGTGGGATGTTGCTATGGAAACACTTGCCCTGTACTAGGGTGTTGAGTTGTATTCCACCCAGCACTGTGGCCCCATTGTGATTTAAGATCTCTCTCTGCAAGAAAAATTGTTAATGTTTTGATGCAGCTGTAATTTCAGTTATATATTGTAATGAAAATATTGCATGAATCATTCTCCTTACTCTCTCCAGCCTCTCACAGGCAATGCCCAATCGCTCCTCTCTAAGCAATGGCCTGGCAAAACACATCCCCATTCCGTTATGGCTTTGACCTGGGGGGACATTACCAGGATCTGCATCCTCTGGGCGTGGGAGCATCGGGGCTCGTCCTCTCTGCGGTGGACAGGCGCAGCGGCCTGCGTGTGGCGGTGAAGAAGCTGGTAATGCGAGATGCCGTCAGCGTAAAACACGCTCTGAGGGAGGTGAAGATCACCCGCCGCCTTCAGCATGAGAACGTGGTCAGGGTGTATGACGTCTTGGGGCCGTCTGGTCACCCTTTACCCCGTGACCTGACCCATGTGCCGGCAATATACATTGTGCAAGAGTGCATGGAAACTGACTTGGCACGGTTACTCGAGCAAGGGCCGTTGCCAGCTGAACACGCCACCCTGCTCTTTTATCAGCTGCTTCGTGGACTCAAGTTCATCCACTCTGCCAACGTGCTGCACCGTGACCTCAAGCCAGCGAACATCTTGATCAACACGGAGCAAATGCTGCTGAAGATCGGAGACTTCGGCCTGGCTCGCATTGTTGACCCACATTACTCGCACAAGGTAAGAGTCGCATTAGCAGGGCAGGAATGACTGCAGCACATAATGCTTCACTCATTGGAAAGAATAACTGGTATTTCAGCCCGTTCTCATCCGAAGGTGTCAAATATGACATAGGCGCCTCCTAGTGGTCTAACCCTAACCCTACCCTACACCTAAACCTACAATAACCGAAGCGTCTCATTTGACGCTAAAGGGTGCCATGTGTGTTGGATGTCTACGCTTTGGCAAAAGTGTCGTATATGACGCCTTGGGATGACAATGCGTTATTTACTAGATAGGTCTTTGTTAGTAGAAAATTAGAAATAGTACAATGGTTTCCAATAGAGATATCTGACTGATATTTCTTTATCAATTCTCAAAAATGTATTTGTTATCAATGTTGTAGTCGTTGGTCTATTGATAATTGGCACCATTTGTGGAGTCTCTGCGATATTCATTACTTAAGTATCATGGATAATAACATTTTAACATTCATTCATTGAAGGAAGCATAACAATTAGACATTTGCCAAAAGCTTTGTTTAGTTCGAAAATGAATAAATAATAATATACATGTTATTTTCTTATTGCTTATCATTAAGTTATACATTATTTAATTAAAAATAAATATAACAATAATAATCACATATTCATAATTAGCTCAGCATTAAGACATTGATCAAAGAATGGATTATTTGTGACTATTTTTGCCTTTGTAAAAATGTAAATATTAGTAATAATAATCATTTTAAAAATAATCGATACATATGTTTTTATTGCATTTTATGATCATTTATACATGATATATAAATCAAAAATATAACAAAAATGTTAAATCTGTTCTGTATATTGATTGACATTGAAAATATGGAAATAATTTGTATTGGTCATAAAAAGACAATATCGATTCTATCAAAGCTCATCAAGATTTTAATCTAGTTTGAGGTCTTGGATTACACATGTTGAGTTTTAGTAAATGTGTTTTTATATGTGTGTATGGAAATAACATGTTTTTTGTTCATGTACCTGGTTAACTAATATATATCAAAGCACTATTACAATCTGATGCGGCTACTGTGGGATGGTACCGAAGCACACAGTACTTTTTGTAAGGGTGTGCTTCACTTCATACAGAATAACTGGATATATTAGTTCATTTTTGGGAACTTTTAGATGTTAGTAGTCTGTACTGTCATACTGTTAGTCTGTACTGCCTTACAAGCTTACATTGCAGTTCACCCTGCAGTTACAGTCTGGCCTTGATTAGCAGAATCACATTTCCTATCAATTATCATGTGCTACGGGCTATGAAGATGATGACATATTAATCCATTTACAGCTTTATCATCAACATAACCTCATTAGGAACAGAAGTACTTTAGATTATCTGCTTTTAATCTTTTTGATGGTTCTAATTGTCATAAGTCTAGGCAGCTACAAATTCAATTTAAGGAGTATCTGTTACATCTGTAAGTAATTTTATATTCCTAAAAGTTAGTTTAGACAAGTTTTGTACATAAAATACCCATTTGTTAAGCCTGTATAGTTGTTTGGAGAGTTTATTGAAGCGTTTTTGGGCACAGTGTTTTGTTTTATGCAGATATTATTATTTGATCCTGGTGACCCTACATTAGTATAACAACTACAGTCTGTCTTAAGTTATATACTTTAATACTAACTTCATAATTCGGTGCATTTTACATAGGTAGATGTTTTCAGACTTTGACATTATGCCCTATTGCATTACACAATAATTATGAACAATTATCTTGATGTTATAGGAGCTGAAAGATTAATGTGGCACTTTACTGTCTCATTGTGCTTCTGTATTATTTAGCAGAACTCACTTTGTAACACTAGCAGACCAGGAGGACAATATGAATGGAGAGCTTTGTGTGAGACAGGACACGGAGGGGTGAATGATCAGGGAAGGGGGATAGTCACAGTTTGGTATGAAAAGAAAAGCTAGAATAAAAACAGCCTTACCCAGGAAATTATAGATGGACTTTTCTTGTAAGAGCCCTGTTTAAAATGCCATGCACTGATAGTAAAATAGCTGAGATTGCAGACTCTATAAGAGCAGCATCCCTTTGCCCTCATGTCACTCAAAATATTCATTTATTATTAAAAAATGTCAAAGCTGCTCTATCTTCAGTGGCTTCAAAAGTTGTACACTTTAGCCACATTTAATGCACAAATGTTTAGACAAGACAATTAAAGAAAGGTTTTTGGTATGTTTAACTATAAAACAATATATTTAGTGTGCAAAATTAATTAAAAAGTATTCAGCCGATATTGTCTCATTTGGAATCATTAGTGGAGTATGTTCTTATAGGATACCAGTGTATACAACGGCAGTGCCAGATTTTTGATTAAGTCAAAAATAAGAAATCCAAAATAAGCATCTAATTAGCCAATCACATGGCAGCTCAATGCATTTTAAGCATGCCAGACCATCTGCTGAAGTTCAAACTGAGTATCAGAAAGGGGAAGAAAGTTTATTTTAGTGACTTGAACATGGTTGTCGGTGGCGGACAGGCTGGTCTGAGTATTTCAGAAAATGATGATCTACTGGGATTTTTACGCACAGCCATTTCTAGGGTTTACAGAGAATGATGTGAAAATATCTAGAGAGCAGCAGTTCTGTGAGTAAAAATTTCTTGTTGATATCAGAGGAAATGGCCAGACTGGTTTGAGCTGAAAGAAAGGCAGGCAACAGTACTGTGTGATTTTAACCCCCATCTAGTGGTAAAAAGGTATATGACCATCCAGTGAATACTAGTTTCTGTTCCTCTCAATTCCGATTTCGTTTTAACTCCTACGGTGGCCAATGTAGTCCAAGATTAACATGGCTTCCAGTTCGACCATAGACTGTAAAAAATGAGTTCGACCTCGTCCATGAGTGTTAACTCAAACGTAAACGCGAAAGGCGAAGCTTGAATTAACGGGTTTGTCCCTCTTTGGCTAATGTACTTTCAAGATGGAGGGGCAACATGGCGACCGACATTAGAACCCCTTACCCGTGTGTATTTTCAATGGCATATTATACACTCACGAGAATACTTTATTACTTGAACGAAGTAAATATACATTAATGAGCACATATATTTTTGAAAGAACTAAGTGTTTTTAGCTAAGAATAAACTAAAAGAGTTACACAGTGTAGCTTTAAAAAAACACTCGTTACAACCGCGGTATGCAGAAAATCATCTCTGAGCACACAGCACATCAAACCTTGAAGCAGATGGGCTACAGCAGCAGAAGACACACCGGGTGTCACTCCTGTTAGCTAACGTCAGGAAACTGAGGCTATAATTTGAACTGTTATAGAAGGACAATAGAAGACTGGAAAAACTTTGCTTGGTCTGATGAGTCTCAATTTCTTTTGCGACATTCAGGTGGTAGGGTCAGAATTTGGTGTGGACATGAAAGCATGATTCATCCTGCCTTGTATCAATGGTTCATGATGGTGCTGGTGTTGTGGGGGATATTTTCTTGGCACACTTTGTGCCCCTTAGTACCATTGTTTAAATGCCACAGCCTACCTGAGTATTGTTGCTGACCATGTCCTTCCCTTTATGACCACAGTGTACCATCTTCTGATGGCAGCTTCCAGCAGGATAACGCACCATGTCACAAAGCTCAATTCACCTCAAACTGGTTTCTTGAACATGACAATGACTCAAATGGCCTTCACAATTACCAGATCTCAATCTAATAAAGCATCCTTGGGATGGGATGTGATGTGACATTTACATCATGGATGTACAGCTGACAAAAACTTGGTGATGCTATCATTTCCATATGGACCAAAATCAGTATAATATACTGATTTGGTGGTCAAGAAACATTTCTTATTTTTATCAATTTTGTCAACAGTTGTACTTAACTTCAAAGTTGCTGATTTTTTTTCTCTCCCTATGATCATATGTCATCCCCTTCAGGATTACAAGTGAGCCTGGACTGCATCCTGTGCCCCCTGTAAAATAAAGGTGCAGGTTGTATTAGTCTATAGTCTCATTAGTGCATCATTGTACCTCTGAGTATAGTGAGCTTAAGGGAAATAAGGCCAGTAGTTCCCTTCACCCTTTCCCTGAGAGAGTGCATGCAACTCTGCCACTCAGTGCTGAGAGCGTCTGTTCCCCTCTCAGCATGGAGGGAACATGCAGTTCCCAAATCTAGAGGATCACATATAAGTGGACTATGGAATCACAGCAGCATCTGCAGGCAGGGGACTGATAGGGCTCCAGATGGTTATACTCACTCAATACAACATGAAGAATAAAGATGATGTGAACTTCATCTATAATTTTAATAAAGAACCAATTGGCCCATTCCCATGTCCTGTTGCTCAATTATGATGGCTTGACCAGCGTAAGCAGCAATTTAAAATAAGTAATCCATAGTTAATGAAATGTATGAAAAGCTATATTAAATTCCTTAAAGGGGTCATATGGTACATGCACTTTTACAAGTTGATTGTTCTGAAATGTGTGTTGGCAGTTCCTGTACACAACCATCATATAATGATATAAATTAATCTCCTTATATGTTTTTCCCTGCCTCAAATCGAGCCGTTCGTCTCTGTGACGTCACATGGTCGGACACCCTTTCCACAATTGTTGATTGACAGCAGCGTTTCAACACAGACCCGCCCTGAGCGAGCTGTCATCATAGTCCGTCATTGTTGATACACTGAAGCAGAATTGCATCTAAGAGATTGTGGTGTTCTGTTCTTGAGTTTAATAATGAACACAGCAGTCATTTTGATGTTCCTAAATCCAAACCGCTGAAGACGCAGTGCCCGAGTTTTGTTTTTGAAGGGAATATTCCCCATTAGCAACGTCAATGCATTCATGTTTGCGCAAATCATTTCTCACCAGACTGCAGTGTTGTAGTCGAGACCAGCTCACTCGAGTCCGAGTCGAGACTGAGACCGAGACCATAGTGGGTCGAGACCGAGACCAAAGAGAGTCGAGTCCAAGTCGAGACCGAGACCATAGAGGTTGGGTCTGAAACCAAACTTAAAGATACCTTCATGAATATGTAAAATATTTGGTGGTAACAAAAAAATTGGCACCATACTCAAACAGTAAACCAAATATACCATGGAATCATGTACACTAATGGTAAAAAGGCCACATAGTGGTGTAGGGAATTTTATTATGATTATTACTTACAATTGTTACAATCAGTAAGTGCTCTTTCACAGAACATTACTGTACATGAATTCTGTGTGGCTCTAATATGTAAACTGAATTATGGATGATAAGCCAGACATTTTCATAGTTGAGCTAGAGGCTCCTGGGTCCTGCTGCATTTGTGTGCCGCGAACATTATAGTCACAAGTCATGCGCAGTTGCGCACAAGAAAGTCAGCAATCTTTGGACGTTTCTATTAAACAACAATTTAAAGAAATATTAACATACAGTTATAATCATGACATATTTTGAATGGGACTCGAGTGGACTCGGGAATAAGTCCGAGTCCCGACTTATGTTTGAGTACGAGTCAATTCCGAGTCAAAATGCATACGAGTCCATGACAAGACCGAGTCCATTAAAATATGTCCGAGTCCGAGTCTCGAGTGCACAACACTGCCAGACTGCTTTATAAACGAGGATCAGTATAAAGCTGGTTTTGCTAAGAAGCTGCTCCTGGAAAAAAAAGAATCGGTACCAACTATTCATGTCCATTATTCATAGGATTTTTTTGGGATAAATATAATTAATAAAAAAATATTGAATCTAATAAAATTTATCCTAAAAATATTGATCCTATTTGTGGATTTTTGTCCAGTGAAAAAGTTGGCAGCAGAAAACATCCTAAATGTCGAGTCTGTCTCTGTGTGTAAGTTGAACTGACAGCACGAAATCAGCATTACCGACATTTGTTGGTCAAAATGCCTGATTCCTGACATTTTGTTCTCAGTGCTCATTTTCAGTCTTTGCTCATTTGTTGGCCTCACTTGCTTGTGATCGTCAACAGTTTCAATGGTCTCAGTGAATCAGCTTCGTTGAGAAGACAAAGGCCCTCTGTTTAAACAGGATATGTAAACATCATTCTCGTTTGTGTCACCATCACCCTTCAGATGCACCCTACTGAGGCTGCCTGCTAAAATCCCACAAATAATTCATCACCTTAGTCCTGGGGGAGAGTGGGAGGTGAGAAAGAAGAGGAAAGGAAGGCATGGGGTTACTGTTTATCAGCTGATTCTCATCAGACTTCATACAGATGCTGAGTCACATGCCATTTTTTTACATTTTTTTTATACTACACAATCACTACAGTTTGGTAGAAGATTAATACTTTTATTTAGTAAAAAAGCATTACAGACATTTGTAATGCTATAAAAAGTGTTTCACGGTTTTCACAAAAATATAAAGCTGCCAACTGTTCTAAATATTGATGACATGTGAAATGTTTCTGAGTAACAAATCAATATATTAGTAATATGATTTCTGAAAGATTGTGTAAACATTTTGTGTAAAAATTTCAAAATTTGTTGTTACTGTATTTTTGATCAAATAAATGCGTGATATATAAATAGGTTTATTGAAATACAACACAAAAAAAAGACTATTATTATGTGAAGTACACCATTTAATTGTGCTTACGGTGTGTGTGTATGTACATTTTTTCTTTGCCACACAGGGATACCTGTCAGAGGGAATGGTCACTAAATGGTACCGTTCACCTAGACTTCTGCTGTCCCCAAATAACTACACTAAAGCAATCGACATGTGGGCCGCAGGCTGCATTCTGGCTGAGATGCTCACAGGACGCATGCTGTTCGCAGGTAAGATTAGAAGAGCCCTCAGTAATGAGCAAGGGAACGCCATTAGTGTTTGTTTGCTCTATTGGTTTTTTTTTATAGATCTTGCAGTTCACTTGAGACACAAGAACATCAATCTTCATTATCCGGACTTGGTCTTAGAGCGTCCTCTTGTGGCTGTACGTGGCAAAGTAAAAATAAATGTGTAGACCACCTGACATATTAAAGGTCTATTTCTATCATTTTCATTTCACTGTACTACATTGGCAAGATTGTAATAAATACAATATTGCAAACGTATTAATACATGCAACAAAAGCAGTGACAAAAATAGGATTTTTTTTTATTAATGATAAAAAATATGGTCAAATAAAACACTACAAATAGCAGTAACATGGACTATACAAAAAAAGAGCATTTAGTGTTAAAATATTTTTAATATTGGCATGAGTGTTATACATTTAAGCAAATTTAACAAAACAAATAGGAACACAAAGCATCAGTTCAAACAAAAACAGTGACCTGACAATAAATATATTAATGATAAAAAAATAAGGTACTAGATTAAAATATGGTTACAGTTATACAGACAACAATTGAAACTGATTAAAAAAAGATTCTTTCTTTTCTGTAAGAATTTACTCTACACAAGCTTGGTGTAACATATAGTTCTTGTTATAAATTGTAAGATTTGTATTTATCAGTATGGGAATAGATAACCAGCCTTTAATTTTTAAGTGCACCCTGCTGTAAATAGTCCTGGTGCACTAAGACAAAGTTTATACGCCTATCTGTTTGTTTCTCTTCTCTAAGGTGCTCATGAGCTGGAGCAGATGCAGCTGATTTTGGACACTGTGCCTGTCATTAGAGAGGAAGACAGACAGGAACTGCTGAAGGTCATGCCCTCTTTTGTAGGTCAGGGGTGGGAGGTCAAAAGGTCTCTTAGAGAACTACTGCCAGAAGTGGAGGACAAAGGTAAGCAGAGCATATGTATATTTATATTTAAATATGTGATACTGCTATGTATCAACAGTTTGTATCTACATTTCAGAATCTGAATCTACATTTCAGGCATTGATTTCTTGGAGTGTATCCTCACCTTTAATCCCATGGACCGGCTGACAGCAGAAGCAGCGTTGTCTCATTCATATCTGCTGAGATACTCGTGTCCTCAGGATGAGCCTGTCTCCCTGCAGCCGTTCCGTATAGAGGACGAGTTAGAGGACAGTGTGGTCACTGAGCACGGCCATGCGCTCAGCTCCCACTGGGACAGGTACACCTCTCACTGTAGGCACTCTGACTTATCAACACTCAGAGCTGTGTCATTTGTTACAGTTTTCCTGGCACTCAGACCTGACACAGACCAACGACAATAAAAGAAAACATAAACTATTGCTCTTTTTTTAAGAATGTTGTTAAATCTATACAGCTAGAAAGAAAAAAAAATCATCATTTAATTAATTTAAAGTTTCAAATAAAGTAGAACCCACACTCCAAGGTTTTATTCATGTTGTATTTCTTGCATGGACCTTAAACTTAATATAAAAAAAAAAATAATAATAATAACATTAAGTGGAGTAAATAAAACATTTAGGGGTCATTTTAGGTACAGTATGCTGATTGAAAACAACACTATGTTACAATGGAAAGAAATGAATCAAGACTTTACTGATTTTAGAACACTAAAACAGCTAAATATAAAACTTAATGTAATATTTAATCAAATCAATCAATTAATGAATTAAAATAGGATATTCTTTATTCATGGACAATACAATATAATATAGAGAATGCAGATGAAAACACCTTATGTTGTTTGACAATATATCGGATATGTGCATATGCTCTTTAAGTGACATCAGCCTAATAAACCTGCTAATGTTTTTTATGTCAATCAAATAACAAAAAACAAATCAGGTGCAGCTCTTGACTGAAGAACTTTTGTAACTTTAATTGTAAGTATTACAATTACTTTATTGAATTACTGTATATTTCTTACCCAAATACTACTGTTAGACCCACTTGAAACACTTCATTTAGCAGTGTGCAATTCAGTTGTTTGTATTTGTATTTATTTGTGCTATCGTTTAATTTTGTTCTTATATTATTACTGACGGTTTACTTGTCTTTTTTTGTAAATTTAGATCAGAGTTCCAAATAAAGCCTCCCTGTGTGTAATCTATATGGGACAAATTACCCAAATTATCAAAAAATTATGAGATAATAATAAAAATGTCTAGTTTCCCCCATGGTATCGAAAATGGTATCGATTTATCATATCACAACGTCGTTACAAAACTAGTTGCTTCTAGGAAACAAATATATTTCTCATAACAAATACAAATGTTAATAAATTAAATGAAAATATTTTATATTTTATGTTTTGAAGGTCTCCTTCTGAAAACAGTCTCTTTCTTTTCCTACAAACTATGTACAGTACAAAGCCAGAAAAATATTTAATATGACTTCCAGGACATAATATGACCAAGATAAAGCTTTTATTGTTGTAACTTTATTATTAGGCAGTTTACCATATTATATGCAAGATGTCTTTGCAAAGCAAATAAATGGGTTTGTAACCCTACGGGTGCATCGTGTAATACCGGTTTGCCAGAAAGAAACATTATTTTAACAATTGTAAGTAGCAAACAAAAGCAGTTGGACCCAATAAAGTGCAGTACTTGTGGTACTAGAGCATAATGAAACTGAGGGAAAAAAACTAATTCCAGTTTTGAAAGAGCCAATTAAAGTCTGCAGTTGTACTTTAATACTCTTTAATGATAGAAGTTTGATTGTTAAAAGTTTGTGGGTACATGGTCTGGACAGTGAAAACAAGGGTCATTTAAAAGCCAATTTACACAGATGGGCACTGAAATGCCCAGAGGACCTTCCAGTGACGTAGAATGCTGTTCAAATATAGAAATGTATTAAAACCCTGCATAATTAAATCTCATAGCAGACTCTGTGACCGCTTAATAAGAATGTCATTGTTGGCACCATATCCATATGGGAACATCTGAAACAAAGTCTTTCTTTACTGATCAGAACCAACAGTGAGAGGTGAAAAAGTTTGTTAGCTTAGCCTTTTGGAACATCATATTATCAAAGTGTATAAATGCTGATGTTAAAAGGAAATGAATGTGGATTCTATGGATGTTTCTTCATAACCACCACTTGACTCTTCTCTGTTTGAGAAAACTAAATTTGTGGTTTAAGTAATGCACCTACAATGGTCAGGACAGAAGCATTTGATGGCAGACAAGTTTACTGATTGATTTGATTGCACTAACCAACTATTAACGTGTAATGTGCAGCCTGACATTATTACGAGTTACGTGTCACGCGAACTTTCAGAAATCATACTTGTATGCTGATTTGGTGCTCAATAAACATTTCTTATAGTTATGAATGTTGTAAACAGTTGTGCTGCTTACTTTCAATATTTATTTAAAAAAGCCATTAAGGTTTTTGCTGTCACTTTTGATCAATTTAATGTATCCTTAATAAAAGTATTTATTTCTTCTCTTACAGACCCTACATTTTTGAACATTGCTGTTATACTATTGTGTAATGTTAACCCAAGTAAAAAAGAAATAAACTATAAAACAATTTGCTGGTTGTGCAATGTCTTACCCTATAAACTTTAAAGTTCATTCATGTAATATAAAAAAATATTGTGACTAATTACATTTACATTAATTCATTTAGCTGGCGCTTTTATCCAAAGTGACTTACAATTGCTATATATGTCAGAGGTCGCACGCCTCTGGAGCAACTAGGGGTTAAGTGTCTTGGTCAGGGACACATTGGTGTCTCACAGTGGATTCGAACCCGGGTCTCTCAGACCAAAGGCATCCCAGCAAACAAATTTAGGTTCTGGGAACGTTAGTTTTTGGTTCCCAGAACGTTCCTAGAACTTTCCCTTAAAGGGTTAGTTCACCCAAAAATGAAAATTAAGTCATTAATTACTCACCCCCATGCTGTACCAACCCCGTAAGACCTTCGTTCGTCTTCCAGAGCACAAATGAAGATATTTTTGATTAAATTTGAAAGCTGTATCACTACCACATAGGCTGCCTAAGGGAATGACACTTGACGACCCAGAAAGTCAATGAAGAAAATGTTTAAATATTCCATGTGACTACAGTGGCTCAACTATAAGTTTATCAAGCGACGAGAATACTTTTTGCGCGAAAAAACAAACAAAAATAACGACTTTATTCGACTATTCCTTTTCTTCTTTGTTGGCCTGAAACGAGACTTCAAGAGATTTCCACGACACAAGAGATTTCGAGACTTCAAGAGATTTCCACGACGCAAACAAGACTTCAAGAGATTTCCACGACGCATGCGCGAGAACTGAACTGAAGTAGTTGAAGGAGATCACAATTCTTGCGCATGCGTCGTGGAAATCTATTGAAGTCTCGTTTCAGGCCAACAAGGAAGAAAATGAATAGTCGAATAAAGTCGTTATTTTTGTTTGTTTTTTCGCACAAAAAGTATTCTCGTCGCTTGATTAACTTATAGTTGAGCCACTGTAGTCACATGGAATATTTAAAAATTTTCTTCATTGACTTTCTGGTAGGGTTGGGTATCGTTTGAATTTGAACAATTCTGATTCCGATTCGGATTCCTTGTTTCGATTCCGGTTCCTAACGATTCTCGATTCCGATTCTTTTAAGAGGCAGGGTCAAAAAAGTTTAGCTAACCTTGCTAACCAACGGCCTTTCTGAAGGAAATACTCCTTCTGTCACAAATACTCCTTTAGTCACAAATTTTGCATTTTGCTGAGATTTCGTTATTTTTAGAAAAGTGAAGCCACACTTTGGACCGCCGACGTAAGCTACTCATGTTCGACACGCGCGGTTATGCCAACACTTCCGGTAGACGCTTCTTCGTTGCTGTTGTTCAGCGGTTTCTTCTTCCGCTCGGCGGACTGTGAATATCGAAACTAGGAATCGAAATTTTAACTTTTGAACGATTCCGGGAAAAACAAAAAGTTAGTCCCGGTTCCAATCGATACTCGATTCTCGATACCCAACCCTACTTTCTGGGCCGTCAAGTGTCAGTCCCTTAGGAGCCTATGTGGTAGGGATACAGCTCTCAAATTTAATCAAAAATATCTTCATTTGTGTTCCGAAGATGAACAAAGGTCTTACGGGGTTGGTACAGCATGGGGGTGAGTAATTAATGACTTAATTTTCATTTTTGGGTGAACTAACCCTTTAAGGTTATGGGAACGTTCCTGTAACATTCTCCTTATGTTATAAAAATGGAACCTAAAAATAACCTACATGGAACGTTCCTATAAAGTTCTTGCTTGGTCCGGAAACCATTTGGGAACGTTAGGAGAACGTTCTCTGTTTGCTGGGATGTGTCTTATCCACTGCGCCATCACCACACCTAATTAATAATATGCACTTTTTTATACTTTGACACTGTGTATGAAATGTGCACATGTATGCTAAAACTGTGTATACACTTTTTCCAGGTATGATGGGAGTCTGTCGTCAGACGTTTATTGGCGGCCGCAGGAGCAGTGTGGGTGCATGCAGAGCGTCTCAGAGCTGGGAGAGGCAGAAGACGACGAAGTTCAAAGAGATCCACGAGCGAGCTCGACGGCCCACATCGAGGAGGCTCAGGTTGACCCTCGCAAATACTCCCACAGCAGCTCCGCGGAGCGCTTCCTGGAGCAGTCCCACTCATCTTTGGAGCGGGTCTGCGGACAATTCACAGAGCTGGACTGCGGCCACTCCTGCGATTACAAGGTGGGTTCTCCATCCTACCTGGATAAGATCGCGTGGCGAGAAGGCAAGCCGCAGCACTACTCTGAACCCAAGCTAATACTGGACCTGTCCCACTGGAGGCATAACAGCATGTCTGCTCCAAGAAGGGGCAGCGTGGAGAAGCTTCTTGCTGAGCCTGGAGATCTGTTCCAGGAGATCTCGCGCTGGGTGGAGAGCACGCAGTCTGGACTCCACTCGCCCCGTTCACCTCAAGAACCTCTCACCTCCCCCTGTTCCCCTCCTCAACCGCTGTCTCCTACAATGCTGTCTCATTCTCACACGCAAATCCCAGCACCTTTGCAATTGTCCAGCCCTCACCAGCTCCATGAGGACAGGAGTCCTACCCCATTCTTCTCCGCTCCTCCATCTCTGCTGCCCTCATCTCCTTCCTGTCCTCATCACGGTTCATCTGATTATCCGTCTTCCTCCGTTTGTGAAATCGATGAAGAGCCCTCGCAGATGGATCCTTCCGGAGAGGAACATTTTGACCTAGATGTGTTTATCTCTCAGGCTCTGAGGCTTTGTAGTCAGAGCGAGGCACTGTCGGAAAACTCGGATGCCCCCAAACCAGGCAATGTTAGCCACGTTCATAATATCTCAGATCACAGAACACAAACTCCAACCTCTGAGATTGTCAAGGCTCACGGGTGTCATAAAGAGCACTGGTAGAAGAGATCTCTTACTTCTTATTTAATGATTTTAAAGATGTTTGATTAGTGCAGCTTATTTAAGATGGCATGAATGAATGTGAACACTGAGGACCTTTTAAGGACCAGACGATTTTTGAGAATGTTGTTCTCAAAAAAACCTGAAGCTAAAATTCTGTATTCCACTAAAAATCCAAAGTATTTACCTTTAGGAAGAGGATCACCTGGCAAAAACATCTGAGATTTCAGATATTAGTTGAATGGAGCCCTGAGGGCACATGGTTATGTGAACATTGTTTGTTCCTATGACCTCTCTCTCAAGAAATTTGTTTTTGCGAGAGACATCTGTGTACTCTCGTATTTGATTTCACACACTTCAATTCTCTACAAACTATTACATCTTTTTGAACATGTTTTGCAAGTTTTTCGGGAAATTAAAGGAAAATGCTAAAAGTATTTTTCCCCTTTCAACTAATTTCCTCCCATAACTTTATCTCTTTAGGCCTCTGTATAGTTGAAACTAAAATGTTTTATTGAATGTTACTAAAAACATTGTGCAAGAGTGAATGGTCTGTTTAGCACAAACTTAGGTCAGCATAATTTTAATAAGAACTTCATTAAATTATTAAGTGTGTAATCAAAGTAATTTTTTTTAAAAACTAAGTTACCTAAAAAATGGCACTTTTGATATAAAAAGTTTCACTCACAATGAAATAAAGACGCAATTTTAATGCCCTTGCAAAATGTTTCATTCTACATAAGACATCATCCGTTATTGTCCACCATGTCTAGACAAAGACTATATGCCAAGACGGTTTACATGTATTACACTGAATGGGAGAAACTGCTATGCATAATTTGGTGGAACAAGTAGTTCTAATTATGTGAGCTGGACCAATTTTAATTTTCATACAAATGTTGGTAACACTTTACAATAAGGTTCATTAGTTAACATTGGTTAATGTATTAACTAACATGAACTAACCATGAGCAATACATTTGTTACTGTATTTGTTCATCTTTGTTAACGTTAGTTAATAAAAATACAGCTGTTCATTGTTTGTTCATGTTAGTTCACGGTGCATTAACTAATGATAACAAGATTTAAATAAAATATTAGTAAATGTTGAAATTAACATTAACAAAGATCAATAAATGCTGTATATGTGCAGTTCATATTAACTAATGTAGTTAACTAATGTTAACTAACGGACCTTATTGTAAAGTGTTACCCAAATGTTTTAATGAGGATAAGAATTTTTGGGACAGTTAATGTGAGATTGAGTTTCTGATTTGAAATATGTTTGAAAGATTTCAGTATTTCCCCATTCAAGTAGATTGGCTGCCAAGTGAACAGACTTTCCCTGAAAGAGTCTTTGGATAGATCAGTCCGACACTCTTTATTACTAACCCCATGATTGGACACTTTGTTTGCCTTAATTAACCATGGCTGTCGTATATGCCTGAGGATATTTCTACAATATCATTGGTAAAAGAAAAACTTTGTATCCACGCTGTCAGACAATGTCAACATTTCTCAGGCTCAAATTGTGAAAGAATGGTTTGGAGGGACATGAAGAATCATTTTCACACATGAATAGGCACCTCTGAGTATTGTCAGACTCTACAGACTGCTTTTTACACCTCTTGATGGAAATACATGTTTTTGGTCAAGATCTTGTATTGACAATGCACGAGTCAAGCACTCTGTAAAGTCTCCTCCAGCACATCTCAAAGACTTTCAATGAATTTAGTGTTTGGACTCAGAGTGTTTGTGCTTATTCATGTGTAAAAATGATTCTTCATGCTCCCTCCCAACCATTCTTTCAGTTTGAGCCTGATGGATCTTGTCATTGTCAACCTAGAATATGGCCATGATGTGTCTTACTACATGGTTGTTTAAAGGGGGGGTTGACTGCTTTTTTTCTTTGCATGATTGTATTTATGGGGTGCAATATAACATGTATTCAAGGTTTTTCTTTTTTTTTAAGTCTTATTTTTCACCTTTATCCCATTCAGACCCTGTGTCCATTACAATGGACATCACATGTCAGCCCCCTTTTTTAACTTCTGGAGCATTTCACCTAGTTCAAAGCCTGCAGTCCATGAGATTGGACATTTGTCAAAATAAGTTTCTCCAATCTTCTTGAAACTCTAGATTCTGATAGAGGGCCATGGGACCTAGACCTGAGTGCAAAAAATGGAGGCTCTAGACCCTTCCAGAGCTGAGATATTGAGATATTTATAATGGCATAAATGTTACGTGGGATCTCAATATCTCAGCTCTGGAAGCGTCTAGAGCCTCCATTTTTGCGCTTAGGTCTAAGTCCCATGGCCCTCTATCAGAATCCAGAGTTTCAAGAAGATCAGAGAAACTAAAAATTTCGAGTTTTTTCAGTTATTCACATATTCTTATTCTGTGATAACTTATTTACGTTATGTGTTTTTTTAAGTTGTGTTCATTGTGGGACTTTTTATTGAAAAAAATAAAAAGGTTCTATCTACAAAGTCGAACTCTAACTTGGCTCTATAAGGTTCTATCTGCATGACCCAATCAGCACTTCGAATGCACAGAAGAGGACCAGTCAGAATCAACTTTATATGTCGGGTCGCCGGCTTTTTCCTTGAAGACAAGAATAAATCCCATAAAGGCATAATGCTATACATTTACAGTAAATTAAATATTCACTAAATTGTGTAGTCTTATGAAGTGGCTTAACTTTATATTTTGTCATTTTCTTTATAGTCTTTTGGTTAATATTATTAATTATTAATGAGATTATTATTAATAACTATTATTAATATAGTTATTATTATCTGAATTATACAAATATGCAGTGAGTCAATTGAATATTTTAGAAAACCATTCAACATGCAAGTGTGTGCGTGTCCGTGTGTGTGCGAGTGTGTGTGTGTGTGTGCGTATGTGTGGGAAAGTATTTTGGTGTGTGTGTGTGTGTGTGTGGTGAGTGAGTGAGTGTGACAATAATCACAAAAAATGTCAGACTCCCTTTTTAATCACACAGACTCTCTCTCACTCAGTGTAGTGTGGAATGAAGACAGGCTGAGGCTGACACAAAGCTCCAATACAAAACATTTACTCAAAAACTCCAAACAGGTACAAGGAAGACTGGCAGAAGATTACACACACTATGCATGAAACATAATCAAGAACTGACAAGCACAGACTAAAACAGAGAGAACTAAATCCAGATACAAAATGAACACTAACAAGGTGACGACAGGTGACACAGATGATCAGGACGATGAACAGGTGGATGATTGATCTCAATATCTCAGCTCTGGAAGGGTCTAGAGCCTCCATTTTTGCACTCAGGTCTAAGTCCCATGGCCCACTATCAGAATCCAGAGTTTTGAGAAGATTGGGGATACTTAATTTTTCGCCCGAAAAAAAAAAAAACGAAAGGGGTACCACTTTCGTTTTTTTTTTTCGGGTCGAAATTTTGAGTTTCGATATCTCAGCTCTGGAAGGGTCTAAAGCCTCCATTTTTGCACTCAGGTTTAAGTCTCATGGCCCTCTATCAGAATCCAGAGTTTTGAGAGGATTGGAGAAACTTAATTTTTCGCCCAAAAAAAAAAACGTAAAGGGTACCACTGTCGTTTTTTTTTTGGGGTCGAAATTTTGAGTTTCGATATCTCAGCTCTGGAAGGGGCTAGAGCCTCCATTTTTGCACTCAGGTCTAAGTCTCATGGCCCTCTATCAGAATCCAGAGTTTTGGGAAGATTGGAGAAACTTAATTTTTCGCACAAAAAAAAAAACGAAAGGGGTACCACTGTCGTTTTTTTTTTTGGGTCGAAATTTTGAGTTTCGATATCTCAGCTCTGGAAGGGTCTAGAGTCTCCATTTTTGCACTCAGGTCTAAGTCTCATGGCCCTCTATCAGAATCCAGAGTTTTGGGAAGATTGGAGAAACTTAATTTTTCGCCCAAAAAAAAAAAAAACGTAAGGGGTACCACTGTCGTTTTTTTTTCGGGCCGAATTTTTGAGTTTCGATATCTCAGCTCTGGAAGGGGCTAGAGCCTCCATTTTTGCACTCAGGTCTAAGTCTCATGGCCCTCTATCAGAATCCAGAGTTTTGGGAAGATTGGAGAAACTTAATTTTTCGCCCAAAAAAAAAAAACGTAAGGGGTACCACTGTCGTTTTTTTTTCGGGCCGAATTTTTGAGTTTCGATATCTCAGCTCTGGAAGGGGCTAGAGCCTCCATTTTTGCACTCAGGTCTAAGTCTCATGGCCCTCTATCAGAATCCAGAGTTTTGGGAAGATTGGAGAAACTTAATTTTTCGCCCAAAAAAAAAAAACGTAAGGGGTACCACTGTCGTTTTTTTTTCGGGCCGAATTTTTGAGTTTCGATATCTCAGCTCTGGAAGGGGCTAGAGCCTCCATTTTTGCACTCAGGTCTAAGTCTCATGGCCCTCTATCAGAATCCAGAGTTTTGGGAAGATTGGAGAAACTTAATTTTTCGCCCAAAAAAAAAAAACGTAAGGGGTACCACTGTCGTTTTTTTTTTCGGCCGAATTTTTGAGTTTCGATATCTCAGCTCTGGAAGGGGCTAGAGCCTCCATTTTTGCACTCAGGTCTAAGTCTCATGGCCCTCTATCAGAATCCAGAGTTTTGGGAAGATTGGAGAAACTTAATTTTTCGCCCAAAAAAAAAAAACGTAAGGGGTACCACTGTCGTTTTTTTTTTCGGGCCGAATTTTTGAGTTTCGATATCTCAGCTCTGGAAGGGGCTAGAGCCTCCATTTTTGCACTCAGGTCTAAGTCTCATGGCCCTCTATCAGAATCCAGAGTTTTGGGAAGATTGGAGAAACTTAATTTTTCGCCCAAAAAAAAAAACGTAAGGGGTACCACTGTCGTTTTTTTTTTCGGGCCGAATTTTTGAGTTTCGATATCTCAGCTCTGGAAGGGGCTAGAGCCTCCATTTTTGCACTCAGGTCTAAGTCTCATGGCCCTCTATCAGAATCCAGAGTTTTGGGAAGATTGGAGAAACTTAATTTTTCGCCCAAAAAAAAAAACGTAAGGGGTACCACTGTCGTTTTTTTTTTCGGGCCGAATTTTTGAGTTTCGATATCTCAGCTCTGGAAGGGGCTAGAGCCTCCATTTTTGCACTCAGGTCTAAGTCTCATGGCCCTCTATCAGAATCCAGAGTTTTGGGAAGATTGGAGAAACTTAATTTTTCGCCCAAAAAAAAAAACGTAAGGGGTACCACTGTCGTTTTTTTTTCGGGCCGAATTTTTGAGTTTCGATATCTCAGCTCTGGAAGGGGCTAGAGCCTCCATTTTTGCACTCAGGTCTAAGTCTCATGGCCCTCTATCAGAATCCAGAGTTTTGGGAAGATTGGAGAAACTTAATTTTTCGCCCAAAAAAAAAACGTAAGGGGTACCACTGTCGTTTTTTTTTTCGGGCCGAATTTTTGAGTTTCGATATCTCAGCTCTGGAAGGGGCTAGAGCCTCCATTTTTGCACTCAGGTCTAAGTCTCATGGCCCTCTATCAGAATCCAGAGTTTTGGGAAGATTGGAGAAACTTAATTTTTCGCCCAAAAAAAAAAAACGTAAGGGGTACCACTGTCGTTTTTTTTTCGGGCCGAATTTTTGAATTTCGATATCTCAGCTGTGGAAGGGGCTAGAGCCTCCATTTTTGCACATTAAGGTCTAAGTCTCATGCCCTCTATCAGAATCCAGAGTTTTGGGAAGATTGGAGAAACTCAATTTTTCGCCCAAAAAAAAAAAACATAAGGGGTACCACTGTCGTTTATTTTTCGGGCCGAATTTTTGAATTTCGATATCTCAGCTCTGGAAGGGGCTAGAGCCTCCATTTTTGCACTCAGGTCTAAGTCTCATGGCCCTCTATCAGAATCCAGAGTTTTGGGAAGATTGGAGAAACTTAATTTTTCGCCCAAAAAAAAAAAAACGTAAGGGGTACCACTGTCGTTTTTTTTTCGGGCCGAATTTTTGAGTTTCGATATCTCAG